ACCAAACCTGGTCCATTGATACCTATATACTTATCTTCTATCAATGGACCAGATATTGGGTCAATCCAACCAAATCCAATATAAATTCATCATGGATGGACCAAGTCCAATCCAATCCAATAAGAACCTTTAAGTCTGGACTGGTCCAATTTAATATGTCTTGTTGGTCTGTCCAATCCATCCAAATTGATTTTGGTTTGGATGGGGTCCAACCCAAAACCGGTCTATAGACACCCCTACCACCAACAGAAAATGTCCGGTTTGATAATTAATTATTCTTAATGACCAAATTAAGCCTGATCCTTTGTTATAAAAATGCAAGTGGGTCTTTTTTTTTGGAATTTTCATTGGACAGAATTTGTCCCTTCATCTCATATAAGGCTGTGTTTGGTTGCAGTGTAAATTTATTTGCACTAGTACAAATGTAAAAAATGCAAATTATTGTTTACTTTTGCTTTGGATTTTACTTTATTCTGCTTTGTGTCTTAATTTACTTCATTTGTATTGCAATCAAACACAATAAGCTAAAATTTGAAACAAAAATAAGTCAGAATTTACACTCAAATCATTTGCACTGCCATGGTTTTGCATCAGTGCGAATTTATTTGCATTGCAACCAAACACAACCTTAGGAGCAAATTTGTATTTTAAAAGAAACCTTACTTGAAATTTGAAACAGTTGAGGTTGTATTAAGCATCAACCATCACCCTAAAAGTCATCCACGGACACCACCCTCATCCTCCCATTAAATTCCACCCAAACACAAAGAAAAAAAAAATCCTTCCACCTCTGAATACATTAAGGGGCGTTCTTTTTTTGGATTTGGAGAAGGGAGAAAGTTGGTCAATGGGATTTTGGTTCCCATTGACCAAGAATCCCATGTTCTTTTTTCAGCTTTATGTGAGGACCAGGGAAAGTTTATTTTGCTGGGTATCATCTACCCAAGAAAGTGATACCCATCTGGCCATCCACTAGGTGGGTAAATAACTTTCCCACATAGGGGGAAAGTTGCCAACACTTGAATGGGACAAAAATGCCCCTTTTAATAATTGATTTCTATGGCTAAAATGGTCATTACCTTGTTTATCGGAGAAATAAAAGAACATGGGTAAACGCACTTACCTAGATAAGTGTTTCCCAGGAAAAACTTACTCAAGTAACCCGGGCAAGTAATTTATCGAAAAGCGAATGAGGCCTAAAAGCAAAAGAAACAAAATTAATTATAAATATATCATGGGAAATATTCACTTATCTATCTTCACATAAAACCTTTTCTCTTATGTAACCCTTTCAATGTCTTACTAGTGAGGACCCGTGCGATGCACGGGTAAACAAAATGCAATTTTTGACAAATTTTTGTAATTTATTTAGGTTCATATTATTTGCCAATTTGAAATAATTATCATCCTAAGTTCTACTAATTTCTAGTAATTTCTATTATACAATAATTTATGATAATTCTTGGTAAATATAATATTTTGTGGAAATTAGTGGTTATTTTTGGCTAAGTTCTACTAATTTCTGGTAATTTCTATTATACTAATTTATGAGAATTCTTGGTCAATATATACTTATTTTTTATACCTATTAGATGATAGTTTATTGGTCAATTAGTGGAAATTAGTTCTATTATATAATTTCTACTAATTTCTGGTAATTTCTATTATATACTAATTTCCTGGTAAATATATACTAATGTATTATATTTATTATATGATAGTTTATTGGTAAATTCTAGTAATTTATCGATTTTCTGGAATTTAGTGGCTATTTTTGGACATTTTTACTAATTTATGATGATTTTTGGAAAATTATTTTAATGTATTTAGGATTTATTTTTGATAATTTCTTTTGATAATTTCAAGTAATTATCATCCTAAAGTCTACTAATTTTTGATAATTTCTTTTGATTTATTTTTAGTAATTTTTATAAATATTGGTAATTTATGTCTAATAATGGTAATTTCTTTTAATTTATATTTGATAATTTTTATAATTATTTGACAGTTGTTATTATTACATTATTTGACGATTTTAGGTATAACATTCATCAAATTTCAAAAAAAAAATTCAAATGGCAATGTTTTTAACTTACAAAATGTAACAATTTTCAAAGCACAAAATCTATAAATGTAAACCTAAGCAATTCAAGGTTCAAAGTATTGACATGTATCAACCCGTATTGGCCGATACGTATCGTGTCAGTGGCTTCATGATATGCCCCTACAGGGGGTGTATCAGGTCAGCCACTGGTTCAGAGGGTAGCCAGGCCTTAAACAGGCCCCTCTGAACCGATTTTAGAAAGAGTAAGTAAAACATGAAAAAAGCATTGACACAGGGCGTATTGACCCATGTCGATATTTAGAACCTTGAAACAATTCATTAAGATAAATCCAACTACCATTTTTAACTAACATTATGTAATAATCTTCAAAGCACAAAACCCAAAAATTTAAACCAAAGAAATTCATTAAGAAAAAAGACAAACATTATTTTTGCTGATTTTTGTTAACTTTATTTATTAAATATTTAATTATTAACATCATTTATCAATAATTACCAAAATTAAATTTATGAATACATATTGAATATTGAATATTGAATATATAATATTTAATTATTAAATATTAAATATTTTTGTTAACATTATTTATGAAATATTAAATATTTAATTATTAATAGCATTTATCAATAATATTATTTAGTTATTTTTAATATAATAGTAATTTTTAAATTTATGAATAGGATTTATTAACAATATTCATTAAATTAATAATCACCAAAATTAAATGAAATTAAATGTATTTATCAGTAATAGTCAGTAATTATAATATTTTATTAAATAATCAATAACAATAGTTTTAATAACATTTTTAATTATTTTTAATATAACAATAATTACTAAATTTATCAACAGTATTTATTAATAATAGTATTTATAATTTTAATTTAAAGTAAATATATGTTTATTAACAATATTTATAATAACAATAATTATTAATTAAAATCATTAATCTTAATAATATTTATAAATTTAAAATAAATATCTGTCTATTAACAATATTTATAATAACAGTAATTATTAATTATAATCACTAATCTTAACAATATTTATAATACTGCTGGGGCTGTTTTTAATAATCAAATTACTGCTGCGATTTGGCGAAAGAGGAGACCACCCCTTTCACATATATATAAGAGAAGCCCTTTCAAATGCTGGGATCCACAAAGAGGGAGAGAAATACATGAGTGAGAAGACTCCAAAGTGATCAGTAGAGATTGCGCTAGTTGTTCCATCTAATGGCTCATAGTTAATGTTGTCTCTTAGCATTTATTTAACCTTCAGTTTATTTATATTTGCTTTGTTGTACTGTATCCAATGGAAAACTTTACAGGGAATAGAAAAGTGCAGGTTTGTTTTTTCTTTCTATCCAAATGGTGGGTAAATAATTTAAGCATTTTGATCAAATAGGTTAATACATGATATCATAATCAAATAATAAAAATTTAAAAAATAAATAGAAATATAAAATCTTTACAAAAAATGAAAAACAATTTGTGTACATTTCTAATGTTATATATTCATCATTTTAAACAAAAATAAATATAACAAATAAGAATTATTTTTAGAGATAAGTAAACTACACTCCACATCAGAATATTCTAAATTCCACTAAATACGCTCCAACTGTACGGTGGAGCTAAGATTTGTTGGGGTGGATTGAACAGTAAAAACCCCTTATTTTTATTGGTGATGAAAATGAAATGCAAAATTTAAAACTGGCCTTTAAACAAAATCATTTTTCTATTCAGATGGTGGATTAAAGGTTCAACCTTTTAATCAATATATATGAGTCAACCTTTGATGTCAAAATTAAATAATAAAAATTTAAAAAGGAATTGTTTATAAAAAATATTGGAAATTGAATAAAAATGTAAAACTATCTTAAAAACAAAATTCTTTTCTATCTAAGTAGTAAATGTTTTAAAACGAAAACAAATAAATTTATAAGGCCATGAAATAATTATTAATTCGATCCTTCTCTAACCCAATGGTCTCAAGCCCATTTAGATGAAGGGATGCACAAAGTAAATCTGAGATGGAAGGATAGTATAATAAATTTCATTATCAAACGATTTCCATGGCAAAATCAAAGGGATCGAGGGATAGTAGAGCCCATATCCTTTACAAGCAAAAACTTTACAGCACATATATCAACCAGTTGTACACTGGGAATTTGTAAATATATGTTGAATTCATGGGGAGATGTTTCTGAAGCAGAAAATCCAATGACTAGATAAATTTACTAAAAGACTGTTAATTGTTAATATCGTAACAGTAGATCTCCTCTGTGGAGAAGAGATTGGACAAGATGCATATGAGGCCGATTAGCCATATCAGCTACCTGTATTAGGGATACAAATCGATTGAATCAGAGTATATCCAAATCATATTTGATAATACAAATCTTGAATTCGATCCAATTTAAAGATTCAATCTGATCTCACAAAGGCCAATTTAAATCCAAATTTATTTAAGGATGCTGGATATTCAAATTTGATTTCTATAATATTTAACAAATTGTTAAAAAGGAAAAAAGAAAACGTAACAATCTATATAAAGAAGACAAAAAAAAAAAATACAATCATTTTTAATCGGATCGTATTAATTATATAATCCGAAATTCCGATAGGGAATATCTGAATCCAACAAAAAAGAGTCGGATTCAAATTCCTATCGAATCATGATCCGGTACATTTGCACTTGCACCATGTATTTAGCCATTTACACGAGTTTGAAGTTTAACCCCAAAGCCTCCACTGCAGGAGTGACGCCGAGCGAGCAACTCAACTATGTTTAGTTGATTGAATTGAGAGGAGACATATACGCTCTTACACAGATCGATGCAGAATCCCATGGCAAACGCTATTCCATCGGAAAACAAACCATTCTCCCATTTCCTCTGCAGCTGCGTCACCGTCTTCAACGAGCTGTCAAATTTTGATGCATTACCAATTACCATCCAAGAGTTTTGATGGGGTCAGAGACCCAAATGCCTAATTATATCTAAAAACAAACGAAGAAGAATAGACAAGGACTCAATTAAACGATGTTTCTCAAGCGTCGTCACGTCACACACCGATTTCGTATTATGCTCACCGAGTTCTGCGGTGGTTTTCGTTATTTCTGTTACAAACAGTGTCGAATCTCTATATCTATATATATATATAAGCAAAGCAGAAGAAGAAGGAGGAAAATTAATTGGAAATGGCGTCTTCCGACAAGTTTGTCTTCCTTTCAACTCTGGCTGTTGTTCTGTTTCTCCTTCCTGTACCAGCTTCCTCACACGACGCGGCGAACCGCAAACCAGTCCTTGAATACCACGGTGGTCCTGTCCTCAGCGGCGATCTGAAAATTGCCGCGATATGGTATGGCACCGTCGGCCGCGTCCAGAAATCAGCCATCCGCAAATTCATCCGCTCACTAAACAAAGACAAAACACACGCGGAGCCGCAAGTGTCGGCATGGTGGAAGATGGTGGAGAGCTATCAAAGTGCAGTCCCCGGAGGCCCCAAAACAAGCCCTACCATTCGAGTGCGCGTCGTCAGGCAAATAACCGACAAGTCATATTCCATCGGCAAAATCTTAACCCAAGATTTCATACCAGGTCTTATCAAGGAAGCAACCGGCGGAAACACACATTTGGTGACTGCCATCTTCGCTGCGAAGGATGTTTCGGTGCAGAATCTGTGCAGTGGGAAATGCTCAGACCATGGGATGGTGGGCACGGGGCCGGACGCTCAGCTGTACACGCTGATCGGGAATCCGATGCTAGAATGCCCTGAAGCATGCGCTTGGCCGTTCTATAAGTCCGGGGCTAATGATCAGATGCCTCTGCCAATGAAGCCACCGAACAAGGATGTGGGCGCTGACGCCATGGTCATCAACTTTGCTGCAGCACTGGCTAGTCTCGTCACCAATCCTTACAACACTGGCTACTACACCCCAGATGGACCGCATTGTCAGCTCGAGGCCGTGACTATTTGCCCTAAGATGTTCGGCACTGGCGCATTTCCCGGCTACGCCGGCAAGGTTCGTATCGACCCAGCCACCGGCGGTGCATTTAATGCACATGGCTCCGGTGGTAAGAAGTTCTTGCTCCCCGCAATCTGGGACCCCAAGACGTCCTCGTGCTGGACCATCATCTAAGTATGCCTTCCTCAGTTTGGTTTGAGGGATTGAGTAACAACCATAGACAGAGCACAAGTTTCTTACCAGACGTGTCTTTGGTGAATAAAGATGGAAATTTCCGATATTAAAAGTGTTTTTCCTTAAGGCATGGTAAAGAATGAAAATTTGTCAAAATCTATTTTACTTCTAGGGATTAATGCACCTCGAGCGTGTAAATACAAATTTTGCCATCCTTTATTTGGTTTTTGGCTTGTTAAATGGAATCTTATAATAACCTAAATGAGATCTTTTTTTATATATATATATATATAAGCTAAATGAGATGTTATAATCTTATAACTTGAAATGTTATAAACATATAATCTTTTTCTTTTCATATTTTTAATCATTATCATTACAAATTTAATTAATTATAATAATGTCATTGAATAAAATAAAAAAACAACCGAAGTGTGTTGGGTTGTGCCATGCTTGAGCCTATGCAGGCTTGTGTCGTGCCGGGGCCAAGTCTTAGGCCAAGTCGGGCCATGAATTGGATTAATCCGTGTTTTATTGAAAATTTTGAAAAAAATAATAAAAAAGTTAATATAAATTTAAAAAATAGATAGAACATTTAAAAATGTCTTAAAATTTTATTTTATATGAATTTTGATGTATACAATTGTTTATATATGCAATAATAAAATAAAATAAAATAATAAATTTTAAAATAAATATTATATATTATATAATTATTGTATACAATATATGACCTGAGCCCATACAGGCCCGTGCCATGCTGCAAGCCAATTCTTAGGCCAAGCCGGGCCACAAATCGAGCTAAGCCATGCTTTTTAAAATTTTTGAAAAAAATAATAAAAAAATTAACATAAAATAAAACAAATAGACAAAAAGTTAAAAAAAGATCTTAAAATTTTAATTTATATGAATTTTGATGTATACAATTGTTTATGTATGCTATAATAAAATGAAATATATAATAAACTTATATATTAATATATTATATAATTATCGTATATAATATATGACTGGAGATCGCGTGGGCCCATGTCATGCCACAAACCAGGCTGGTCTGTGGGCCAAGTCTTAGGCCAGGCTGAGCCACAAACCGGGCTAAGCCTGTTCATGAACTCAATAGCCCAATAGTTCAGCCTAACCCACTAACAACACTAAATTAATTAATTAAATAATATGAGATAACCTTTACCAATCTTGTGTTGATAATACATAAAGTTTTATTTATTTATTTATTTACTTATTTTACTAAATTACTTAATTAGTTAATAATTTTTTTTATCGGTAACTGAAATTTTATTAATGATAAAAACAAGATTACAACGGGATGGAGCTAAAAGGTCTTAACTCCAGTTACCCAAGAACTTTCTGATCTTGTAGTGATTACAAAACAGCCCAGAATAATGTGTCTCTATTTACCCCTTGCCTAGCTAGACCATCAGCCAATGCATTTGCACTTCTCTTTGTCCAATTACATTGAATTTCCATGTCCCTGGTTAACCATTTATATTTCCTCTTTTCATTGCTGTATTCCCACATCATAGCACTGTCCTCTGTTAGCCATTTCACCGCCATTACAGAATCACCTTCTATAACCACCTTTTTGATCTTCATTTCCTTGACCCTTTGAATTCCTTCAATAGCTCCAAGAATCTCAGCCCTCAATGAATCTCCCACCTCAATCGGCCCAGAGTACATGGCTAGCACGTTCCTTGTTCCATCCCTTATCACACCTCCAATTCCAGAAGGCCCTAGGTTGCCTATGCTACTACCATCAAAATTCAGTTTGGTGAATCCAATAGGTGGAGGACTCCAGCAAGCTTTTGATAACTTTCTACATAGGCCTGAATCTGTAATCTCCTTCCAATTCCTTAACAACTCATCAGCTGAAAACACTTTGAACACTCCAGTGTTCTCAAACATTGTGTCATTCTAATGTGAATGCTCTCTATAATTTCTTCCATACCTCTCTCTTTACTTGAGAAGATCCTTGAGTTCCTCTCCTCCCACACTGTCCAACAGACTGCAGCTCTACCACACCTCCACATAATTTTAGCCCTTTTAGTTGGCCAATTAGGCATGGAAGAAAACAAGCTTTGAACATTCAAGGGGGGGTCCACCTGCATCCAAACAAAGAAGTAAGCCATACCCAAATAGCTTTAACAATCCGATAAGAAATTAGCAAGTGATCCGAACTCACCATCAGACTTATAGAGAACACACCAATGAGGAGACAAACAGTTGTTGGATCTTTTCCTTTGGAGTAGATCCCCTGTATTAACTCTTCCCAGGAAGGTTTCCCAACAAAAACTCCCAACCTTAGGAGGAGACAAAGAGGATGACAAGTTATATATAAAGAGCCAAGACATTTAATCTCCTTCCATAGGGAAAAATAACAACTGTAGTTTTCTCTACTTCATCAACATGCATATGATTCTCTACTTCATCCCCATCATTTATTCCAAAAAAAATGGTTGCATTAATTATCAACCTTTTATTAAATTGAACAACCAGGCATTTAATCTAGAAAAAAAAAACAGAAACTAAAAACCATAGGGAAAAAATGACAACCGTAGTTTTCTCTACTTCACCAACATGCATATGGTTCTCTACTTCATCACCATTGTTTATTCCAAAAAGAAATGGTTGCATTAATTATCAAATTAATTATGAGAATCGCAAAGATTTCAACTATAGAATCAGATCTACACACGTGTCATATATTCCCAAAGCCAAAGACAGTCCCCATAGTAAGAAGTCATACCTTCAAATGGTAGTCAAGTGCCATTGAGTCCTTTAATATAAGCCATCCGTAAGAACTAAAGAGAAACCATTTCCCCTATATTCTGAAGAAAGTCATAGCTGAGTGAAGTAAAAGAGAAGTCTAAGAACTCCAACTCACTCAAAGTGCTCACCTCTACATCAAATTAAAGGAAAATAAAACAATGTTAGACTATAAGAAATTAATCATTGGTGGTGACTGAATTAATTAATGCAAAATTGAAATTGAACCAAATTAAACATACACTCGATTGGCAATCAACTACTATTAATTAATACATACCTTGATCGGTAATTGGTCCACTCAGATCATTTCCACTGAGATACAATGTTTTAATGTTGGGTGCAAGAAGACCAATATACTGAAAAATTGTTGTGTTGAAATAGTTCATGTCAAGGGCCTCCAGCTTTCTCAACCTTTTATTACCTGAGAGTGAAAACAGAATGTGCCAAAAAAAATGATGTTCCTTATTTCTCTGTTGTCAATAATGCTAACCAAATTTCTCAAATACAAGATGTAATGCCAATCAAATCCATATTTTATTGGTAAATTCATCATTTATAATCTATTAAAATAAGCGTATATTTGTACAATACCAATGTTTTGTAGTACAGGGAATTGTCTAAAAGTAATACATTCATTATTTTGTCCCAGACATTTAGAAATCCATAATATAAATATAAATGTACTATTCCTTGTGTTAAAATTTACGAACGGACAGGCCTAATGCAGATTTCTGATTTCCACTGCAGAGTGGGGGAGTGGGGGGAGGGACGCTTTATTACCTTTTTTATGTTGCACGCATCCATGGCAGAACAGAGTAGGGTACAGAGTAGAGAAAGAAGGATAAAGGAGAGAACAAGGAGGGTTAGACAAGGATAGAGAGACAGGAAGTGGGAAGACTAGAGAAGAAATGGAGCTACGGAGATGGGAGAGAGAAAGAGCTTAAAAGAGGGAGAAGAAGATGAGAACAGCGGTTGTTTTTCTGGTAGAATGGGTTTCTTGAGGGTTGTTTGTCTGGTGGAATGGGAATGCCCTTTAATTTGCATGGGAAGGGGGTTTTAGAAGTTGCAGAGATTTCTCCAATATCTGGAGTGAAGTGGAAGGACAGTAGCTGTCTAGGCAGCGAGCCTACCTCAGTTCTGGATACGAGAAGGAGCCCAAGCCCTCCTACATCTACTGGAGGGAAGTGGAAGGACAGTAGCTTTCTGGGCAGTGAGCCTACCTCAGTTCTGGATACGAAAAGGAGCCCAAGCCCCCTCCTACATCTACCTCAACCCTGTCTTCTTCCTTGGGCGGAGGCAGCGGCTCAACCGACACAGCCGGCGTGGCGGCGGTTTCCCATAATCCTCCACAGAAATGGCCACCTACCCAGCAGCAAGAGGATAGCTCGGCTGCAGTAGCTGAACCCGACAGTTATGTTGGGGGTGGTGGTGGTTATCGGAAGGATGAATGGGCCGCTGTTTAGCTTCCATCTATACACACGCACGAGCTGCTTGCACATGAGACCATCAATTTACTGCACGAGTAGATTCCATTTAGCACAAGTAGAATACACCCATTCCGTAATAATAATAATAATAATAATAATAATAATAATAATAATAATATAGTTATATATAGCTAGATAGATAGGTAGGTAGATAAGATGCATATAAAGGGAGGAACCTAAGACTGCGTCACCCTAGCCAAGAGGGCTCTATCCTGTAGGAAAATTTACAAAAGAGAACCCTACCAAAAATCCTAAAATAGATAACTTCATTATACAAATCCAAATGAACAGAAACCATCCTATGGGTCAAAATCCTTGCATCAATATTATAATGGCCCACCCCTCTAAAGACATTAATCTGTCCTCCATCCAATCCACCAGAATTTGAGCATCACCTACCATGATGAGACTCTTAGAACCCATAGAAACTGCTGGTCTGAGCCTCTCAAGAAGTAAGAGTAGCTAAGTTCTCACTTATCACCCAACTTATTATAAAGGAAATGAATGTGAATAATTACACAACTCATGCCAATAACTAAGCACTAGGATGTCTTGACTTTACTGTGCAAAAGTTGTCAAGAAGCTATAGCACAAGGGTTCCAATGTGTTTATTCGGGATGCAAACGGATTGAATTGAATTCAGATAGGGGTATGTCCAAATTCAATTTGATAAGAAATTTATCATATTCAAATTTGATTCAAATCCAATGGATTTACAAATTCATATTCAAATTCGATTTGATGATATAATTGGATATCCAATTAAAATCCAATCCAAATCATTGATAAACAAGGAAAACAATGTTTCAAAGAGAGTAAAACATAATATAGATGATCAACTGCGGTAACATACACTAAATCCACCATGGAGCTTTGTCCATTCCATCTCAAGAGATGGCACCCCCTTCCATCCATTTAATCTCATTCACCTCCTCTAATGATAGGGTTCAATTAAATTGATAGCAAAAAATTTCAGAGATCAGAGCTTGTGTTGGAAATCTGAGATATCCCTGCTTGTCACTACTTCATTTTGTCTTTTTCCTCTCTGATCTTCATTTTCTCAATACGCTCACTTTCACATTTCCAAGGGAAACGAAGCCATGGAACTCCGCAGCCCTGTATTTGTTGAGAGGAATGAGAAGGTGAGCACAAACGAACCTTGGCATCCACGATCTCTGTTGCATTGCTATCATTTCCAGTGATCCTTCCACAGTTCCAACTCCATTCGCTCTCTTTCTCTCTTGCCCATTTTCCTTTCACATATTTCATATGGATTAACAGCTCTAACCCTTACCTATTTTTGTAACA